TTCACCAGACTTCACAGTTTGAGCTTGAGGCTCAGCAGACCGGGCTAGAAACGCGTCGACGTCGCGTTTCTCGATGCGTCCGCTCTTACCAGAGCCAGGTGCAAGTTGAACAAGATCGACACCATTCTGGCGCGCATAATGACGCACAGACGGAGGAGCAAGGACAGAGACTGCAGTAGCTGAGTCTCCAGCAGGCATAAAGTTTGGATCTAAAGGATGAAGTCGACGAGAAGACTCCACCTTTGGAGGTGCAGGCGCCTCGACAGGTGGTGGTACTGAGCTCGTAGCTTGTTCACTGTGAACAGGCGTGCTAGTGGGTTCAGAAGTAGGATTTGACTCTTTCGAGCCAGTATCTTCCTCCTCTACTTCAATCAAACAAAGCCCAGCCCCAACCTTAGCGACTTCTCCCTCTTGTACAAGCAACTCTTTCACAACTCCATCGTACGGACTGGTGATCTCCACGCTAGCCTTGTCGCTCTGTACCTCACATAGCGGGTCGAAAGCTTGGACATTCCCAGACGGTGCAACCGACCTAGTTTCTCGACAACATCAATAATGCTAGATATTGGTCCGGCCGGAGCTAACACGTACCACTTGATGATCTCGCATTCTGTGATTCCCTCCCCGATATCTGCGAGCTTGAATTTGTGGACGACTTTGCGCATGGCCCATAACGTGGCGCTAGAGTGGAAGTAGGCGCGTCGAACGGTACCAGGGCGCCGGAGGAGGCGCAAGAACATGGTGGTCGGAAGGAAGGAAACCAGTGTTTAGGGTTAGGTTTCCGCGCTGTCATGAAACCACGCAAAGAAGCATTCGAACAAGATCCGAGTAAGTTGCGATTGGCAGCGGGTCTGGTTTTTTTCGGTGATAATGTTCTATAGGCTAGGCGACAGCGCAATACATATACACCTAGATAGTGCTGTTACATCGGTGATGACAAAACCAAGGATGATTGCAATATTAATCTCCTCATCCAGGAATCTCACCCTCAACTTCCGCCTCCCCAAACACACTCGTCTTCTTAACTTCAAATCCCTCGATGTCCTCCTCCTTCGCCTCCCCCGCATAAATTCCAGGCTCCTCCCTCCTCAAAAACTCCATAATATGCCTATTCATCGCCTCAAACTCCAACAAAAACCCATCATGCCCGTCAATCGAATCAAGCAGCACGAGACTCGCGCCGGGGATGTGAGCTGCGATCAGCCGTTGTTCCGCGGGAACGAAAAGGTTGTCTGAGGAGATGCCTATCACAAGCGCGCGGGGAGGGAGCCTGGAGAGGACGTAGCGCGTGGCGGGGTCCGCGTCGAGCTCGGGGTCGAGGTCGGTGTCGGAGGAAGATGAGGTGCAATCGCATTCGGAAGAGCATGATGAGGATGCGGGTGAGGCGGGGCGCACGCAGGCGCAGGAAGTGACAGGGGCAGGCCGCTCGCGGGCTATGTCGTGCGTGTCCATCTTATGCGTGATGTGAATAAAGCAGTTTGCGTCGAAGCGCGCGAGGAACTTTTGGCCCTGGTAGCGGAGGTATGATTGTGTGCAGAATATGGGTCCTGGTGGAGTTGGTTCTTGCCGGTGTGAGACAGGCGTTGGTGTGGGTGCGGGTGCGGGTGCGGGCGAACATGAGGAGGCTTCTTTGGAGGTTGACGTAGACGAGATTGGAGGAGTATCGGTGGGTGTAAGTGTTAAGGAGACTATTGAGGCGCTATCAGCAAGAGCGGGTGTGTATACGGGGGGAGATGGTGGAGGCGTCAACGCATCCACGCGCCGTGTATCCTTCTCCGGCTTGACTTCCCCTATCTTCTTCGGCGTCGGTTCCAGCCCCTTCTGGACCTGCTTCCTCCTCCCAAATTTAAGCCCGAAACTCGTCCGTGATCTGTATGTGAGCATCGCACACACCCGTGCTGCTGCAAGACCTGCTCGCGGCTGCTCATCGTACCACCCCTCGTTAAAAGTAGGATCTGCACACAGAGCCTGGCGTTGTGCCTCGCCCCATGCGATGCACCATGCGGAGTGCGAAGCGGATGTTGCAAGCGGCAAGATGTGTCGGACGTAGCCTGGTGGCATGCATAATGGCCACTCGAGGACGTGCATGCCTCCCATCGAGCCGCCAATCACCGCCGCAATAGAAGAGACGTTAAGGTGGTCGAGCACGAGCTTATGTATCCTAGAGCAGACAGGAGTTAGTAAATTTACCAGTTTTCTTGAGTAGAGAAAGTAAGACCAACCGGACGTCATCACGAATAGTGGTTGGCGGGAAGTCGGGTCCATATGGCTTGCCTGTTTCAGAATTCGTAGTGAGTGGTGATGCTGAGCCATATGGAGAGCCAAGGACATTGAGACAAATTATAAAGAAGCGCGCTGGATCGAACGCTTTCCCTCTTCCCATCATCGGGCCCCACCTGTAATTCAAATGGCCAGGCCAAGGTCAGGGGTCATCCAGTCATCTACACCGATGCATGGGCTCACCAGTCCTGCACATCAGCGCTCCCAGTGAGCGCATGGCAGATAACCATGACATTATCCCTCGCAGCATTGAGGCGACCCCATGTCTTGTATGCGACTGGCGCATCCTTGAGCACCGCGCCGCACTCTAGCGCGAACAAGGGCACGACATGAATATCCTGCTCGATGAGCTCGTACAGCGGTTTCTGGTTCTGGTACGACGTCTTGGTTTTGGTGGAAATGCTAGAAGGGAAAGACATCCTCGAAGAGTTATGCTGGGGAGAAGTCATTTGAGTCGATATTGGGTCACAGTACTTGAGTGCGGGTAGTTAACGTTTAACGGTCGATTGTGAGGGTCACCCCTGGCTGAGAATGGAGCATGAGTCACTCTATTTAGAGCATATTTATACGGTAGGGAGCAATAGACTGAGAGCTTAAAGTACTATTGGGAGCAGATCGCTGATGGAAGGGAAAGCTCTCACATGCGGTATCATGAGCCTGGGTGAACGCCGTCCGTGGACTCTGATCCATCAATATTGATAATGTTGGCTTCCTTTTGAAGTCAATTCAAGCTGAGACATATTACTAGTATTACGGCCCACGAACTGAACAGCGCTCGACGCTCAGTAGATGCCCGGGGAAACATGGCGTGAAGCAGTTTTGAAAACTGACTTTGTCCCGTATGGCTTCATATGGCACGATACTGTCCGTCACCGTGCCGCAAGGGAGTTGCTTACTTCCGCAACGGTAAGGTGCGTAGTCTAACATTTCAGTGAGCTTCCGAATCCAATTGACAAGTTGGTACAGGTCTTGCTTACTTAAATGAGTCTTTAGTGCTGCACTCAGACTATGGGCGATCAGCGCTCAGCTCCCGTGGCCAGGAAGCCCTTAGCATTCTCACTCAATGTTCCGGTTACTTTGAATTTCGATTTGGGGAACCGCAGGATGGTAGAATCAATGATTTTCTGATGTCAAGTTTGCATCTGACATAATATGTATTACAATATAGGGAAGAAAAAAAATATCAATAAATGGTCAAGTTAATTATTTTCTCTTTCGCACTCATGGTTTCTTCGATCTGCTCACGTCCACTGTTTCTCCAGTATGCAATCCAGACTGTTCAACAACGCAATCGGTCTGAGAGGCAGCTAGAAATTGACGCCTGACTTTATTTATCCGGTCCTCGGCTTGAAATATTTTCGGATATTGGATAACTCGATCACAAGAAGCCAGCCGAGTTTGTGACTTATCTGGGAGCCTCTACCGTTCGGACGCGTATGCATGGTTTCTTCTAAGAATACCACTCTCACTCTTCGATGACCTCTGGAATAAGTCGACAAGGTCTCGCCATTCTCGCTCTTGCGCCCGTAGTCCTTACGCTTAGACGTCTATACCTGCGTTCGCTGACTCGGCGCACCCTCAAAGTCCTCGAAAACGAAGAACGTGTCCTGGTCCTTGGTGCATCCAGTGGAATCGGAGAAAGCGTCGCAAAACAGTATGCGGAGCGTGGTGCGCGCGTTTGTGTAGTCGGTCGACGGGCGGACAACGTTGCAGCAGTTGCAGAAGAGTGTAGGACCCTCAGCCCCATAAAATCGCCGTCGCGTATACTTGGTGTCGTCGCTGACTTTGCGAACGTTGATGATATGGTGAAGCTACGAGAGACCCTGCAGAAAGGTGAATTTTCTTTCTATCCTTCTGTATTCTTTTTGATCAAGTGGAATTACATACAGAATGGCAAGGCGTAGACACACTAATTGTCGCAGCAGGTGTATCGGCCCTCCAACCTCTCATGGCCGTGGCAGGCGTCGAAGCCGACCCCGGCGGAACTTCATTCACGCCTTCACAAACCTCCACCGAGGGAATAAAACGCACTGTAGAGATCTCCGCGGCGGCAACACGTGGAAACTACATCGGACCCCTCATTTCCGTTGTCACCTTTGTACGTTACGCCACGCTCCACTCATCGATCCAACCTCTGACGATATTTCTGTCCTCAACAAACCCACAGATTCCTCTTCTCACATCCTCTTCATCCTCTCCTTCGATCCTCCTCGTCTCCTCCCTCGGTGCCGTAATCCCCCCACCAACACGCACCCTCTACGCCTCGACAAAAGCCGCGTCGCTCGTCCTCTATCAAGCCCTGTCGATCGAACATCCCTCCATCTCATTCACCTGCGTCCTCCCTTCCACCGTCGAAGGCGACTTCCGCGCTTCGGCCGTCGACGCTGGCCCAGTCCGCGAAAAAGATCCTAACAAGTATGGGTTGAAGCGTGCGGATGTAGCGAGGAGGTGTATTGAGGCTGTGGATGCGGGCGAGAGGACGGTGTTCATGCCGTCAACGATGAGAGTGGCTCATTTGCTGTATTGGCTCTGGCCGGCGTTTGTTGAGTGGAGGGTACGGATAAAGTATAATTTTGGTGTTTAGTGAGATGCTTGCCGTGGATGATGGACCATGTACCGATCCGGATCAGGTGCCATATGTAATCTTTGTCCTCGAGAATTGTGCGCGGCGTTCGCAGGAGCATTGATGACATGTCAAGCATTGAACCAAGAGTTCATTAGCCATTAATGGGGTAGTGGTAACCTGGGTCGTTGCCATTTGGTTCTCGAATGGAATCTCGACCCGCCGGGGGTTCGATTCCCCCTTAATGCAGAATTTCATTGGTATCTGGGGTTTTTTCCCAATATTTTGAGTTAGCATACCATTTTTATCAAACCAATGAAGTAACTCGATGTCACACAGCCACGTCGAGTTGTGATAATAGGGTGGGATCTGAGCGGAAACCAGCCTTTAGGACTTTCCATGACAACAATTTTCCCTTCTTAGGTAAGTGCAAGGAAACTTACTGGAGGGACTTTTCTCTGACAATGAGTTTCCTCAATAGAGTGAAGAGACTTTGAATTATTCAACCTACCCACCTTCCTCACCCTCTATCTACTTATCACTGGTATATCACTTGGTACACATTCTGTATTCAGTCATACTGAGCTGCTCATATGAGCTACAAATACACTCAACTGAGTATGGGACAGGCAAAGGCCCTCCTGAAGAGCTCAGGTTCTCCCACTATAATGCCTGTGGGTTTAGTCATTGATTTTGTGTATTCCATGTACTTCCAAGGTGCCTGTGTTTAGAGGTGGCATAAGCACTGTGCACTGTCCATGGAACCTCTAAGGCAACAATATTCCATCTTGTCCAGTGAGTTTTTGAATATGTTTAAAAATGTTCTGCAGGTGTCTACACTTGCTTAATCCCCAAACATGTACTTATTCTCATTTCTAACTCTTGATGTTCTTACTTATCCAACCTCCAAACCTCAAATTCCATTGTCATTCAATCGTCAGCCTGGCCAGTGATAAGCCCCAAAAAGTTCTAATTGCAAATAGTTATTTATTTCAGATTTTTCTTGTTTTTTTTTTTTTTTTTTTTTTTTTTTTTTTGTTTTTTTTGTTTTTTTTTTTTTTTTTTTTTTTTTTTTTTGTTCTTGGTCGAAGAAAAACAAAAATAACAATTTCTGGCTGG